CCCCAAAACCCCAAAACCCCAAAACCCCAAAACCCCAGTTTGAAATGGGAAATTGAAACGTAGAAGTTTAAATTCTGACGAGCAGGTAGTTTTGAGGGGGGGAAATGAAATAGTGTAATGGGTACAAATTTCTGAGGAATTGATTGTGGAGTTATTGAAACTAAGGGGTAGATTTATGGGTCGTTGATAGAGGGAGTAGCAATAACGTGGCCTCTTACAATTACTCCAGCAGAGTTATGGGGCTGAGGATGAGCTTGGTAGTGAGGCATTTGTTGCATGTTAACTTGATTTACTGACGGCAAGTCTTGAATGATTTCAAGTTCTCTAGCATTGTAGTGATACTTGTAAAGTCCCCCTAAGATGCAAGCAGAGTACATGGTAGCACAGCAGCAAGCAATTGAAAATGCCATCATTAAGCTCATAAATACTATAGCAGATATACCTTCCATCTCTCTTAAATCATCATTGTTTGCTCTTTCTCCTTCACTATGCTTCTTGATATGGAATTCTTGACCGCTACTCTTATGTCTAAGTCTATATTCTCCTGGTGATCTTCTTTCATCTTTCATCCTAAATAATGAGATTCACCTAAATTAAGGTGACTTACCATTCATCAAATGCTATTCCAAAGCCAATGAAAACGGCTAGGTAAGCAAGAACAAGGAAGAGGAACTGCACTAGGATAATTGCAAGAGTCTTCTTATAAAGCCTCCATGTTGAAGTTCTGGTTGGGGTTTCTGCAGTTTTGATGAAAAGATATCCCATTAAAATTGTCAAGCAAGCAGATACTGTATCAAGGAAGTTTGCAAAAGCAAGAGGACCGGCCGGGACTTCTATGTCGTTGTCCTCCATTTTTGACTCATTGAATTCGATATCAATTTCTTCAGTATCAAGGAACCTGAGGGCATAGGTGGCTGCTCTTAGTCCACCAAGGATTATGAAGATCCATCCAACAAGTTTGATGTACCAAGAGTACTTATGCACTCTAGATTGAGCTTGGACTAATTTGTATCCCGGTCCATGAAGGATACCAACTGGTTGTTGATAATTTATACTCACTGGTGGGTTGGCGGCTCCAAAATTATTATCACTACTTGCATCCCCTATACCACATTAGATCTTGTTTATTAAAATTTATAAAATAGCAGCTTCTCCTCTAACACTTCACTAAAATTGAGAGAGTTCCAGTAGCTTTCGAATTTTGAGGTTTGAGGAGAGATCCAGGCACAATTGTTCTTGTAACTTACTGTTTTCAGGCACTTGGCTATAAGGATTCATTTTTAGTAAAATATATTATATTCTCAATAAGTTTTCTCATTTAGGGGTTTTGGGGTTTTGGGGTTTTGGGGTTTTGGGGTTTTGGGG